GCCTGCAAGAATTCTATAGTCACAAAAAAACAAGAGGAAACTTGAGTGTAGCAAGTCATGATCAAAAGCAAAGAAAGGCTCAGGACAAGTGGAAGCTGATTAAAAAGCTTTTTGAGTATCTGGCCAAGCGCAATCTTCGACTGATGCTGTAGAATCCAGAAATATTTCAACATAAATAAATTAGAAGAGTAACTTGGCTAATACTCGATTACTTCAGTTGTATCAAGTAATACTTCATATAGCCGATTATGGGCTAAAAGCTTGGAACAGTGCTCGTGAGGATGAAGAACGTAAGCGTGGGGGTGTGTTGTATGTCGCTCTTTCGCGAGCACTGTGTAAAGCCGAGAAAGAGTGTGAGGAAGCAAGCAGGAGAGGGGAAACAGAAGAGCATTCCGACAAGTCCACAGAGCTCGTTCGTTCCTCTCTTAGCTCGAGCCGTCCGTCATTTCAACCTTGCGAATAGTGCATAAATCCGGAAAACATCTGTGGAGTGTTTTATTTGCGAATGTAGACGAATCATAAGGGTGTGTACACTTGTGTAGAGCTTGAGAACAAATGTGATACTTGTAGAGCCAAAATAAAACGGAAGTTCTCAGATTTATTTCTGTCCAATAATTCTTTTCCTTTCAGGATAGCCCTATATGATACTTGAATAAGATCTCACATAACCGTCAGAGCTCTATAAAAGAACTGAGGATGGGAAAAATTATCAACTTTCTAATAACTCAATTCTTGATTCTAAAAGAAGACGTTCTAGAAGCTGTAGGATTACGCAGTTGGGAATATCTAAATTATAAGTAATAAGTGTAAAGTTGTAATACTTTCATGGTTGCTATAGATAACAACTCAAAATCCTGTCGCTAGTTTTTACTCGACTTCTGTTATTTTCAGCCCAAAAAGTTGAAAATTACTTTGGTAAAACCGAAAAGATGGACAATTGGCGGGTTTCATGTTCTTGGAAAGGTTTGTTGGGAACCTACACCTTGCTATAATCATCAGACTCACTTCCACGAGGTACTGGACTAATGACATTCCTGCACTGTACAGGGCTACATTATGCACAATATGCTGCTTTACAAATTGTTCCAACTTCAACATCTTCATACGTTTTAGTCGGAAATGTCCACTTTGGATCGAGGGAGGCTGCAAATT